GCAGTCTCCGGCAGCATGTTCAGCTGGGTTAGCAAGGATGCCCGCCGCAAGAAGGAGCCGGAGCTCTTCCAGACGGTGGCTGAGGGGCTGCGGCAGCTGTACGCGCAGAAGCTGCTGCCCCTGGAGGAGCACTACCGCTTCCACGAGTTCCACTCGCCCGCGCTGGAGGACGCTGACTTCGACAACAAGCCCATGGTGCTCCTCGTGGGCCAGTACAGCACGGGCAAGACCACCTTCATCCGGCACCTGATCGAGCAGGACTTCCCAGGGATGCGCATCGGGCCCGAGCCCACCACCGACTCCTTCATCGCGGTCATGCACGGCCCCACCGAGGGCATGGTGCCGGGCAACGCGCTGGTCGTCGACCCACGGCGCCCCTTCCGCAAGCTCAATGCCTTCGGCAACGCTTTCCTCAACAGGTAACCGCGCCTTGCCCCGGGGGAGCGCAGGGAGGGCGGCGGAGGTCCTGACCCTCTTGCTGCCGCCTCCCCGGCTGTTCTTTGTCTTCGAGGCCCCCGCGACGCCCTCAGCGACCACTCCCCAGGACTGGGTCCCCAGCCGCTTACCAGAGAAAACCCTACGGGGGAGGTAATCTGGGAGTGGGCGTCGCTGGCTTCCCCAGCTCTGTCATCCCCCAGAATTTTCCAAGTTATCCGTTTAACTCCCAACCCCACAGGCAGATCGCAGACTCACTTCCTTCAGTTAGTCTTGGTCTCCACCTCCTTCCCTCAGACGGGACGCACCTAATTCATTCAAACCAACCCTCCACACCCCTCCCTTCAAGGGTCTGTTTCTTAAATGTCATGGAAAAATACAGTGAAACTTTCAGCCATTCCCTTTGCTGGTGTGGCGTTCATTGCCTCCCCTGGGACCGGTGGTTTTATGTAGGAGGGACGGGGAGGATCTGCTGTGGCCTGCTGAGTTTGGGACAGCCTGCACAGGCAGCAGCCGGACCCAGTGCCACTACTTCTCCCAGGAACATCTCCAAAGGGCCTGTGATGCTTTAGGGGTTTCAGGAGTATGGGTCTGTGCTGCCAGGCGGTGGCTCTGGGAGCCTTGGAATGAGATTTGGGCCCCTCTGAAGACTCACTAGGACGTTTTCTAACGTACTTGGGCCTCAATTTCCCCAGTTAAATGGGTAAAACCCTGATGAGGGTAATCCTACAAGGTTCTAACCTTCATGAGGCTATGAATGAAATGCCTCCTCTCTCAGGAGTGCAACAGCCAAGCTCACTTTTCTCTAAAGGAACCCAGTGCTTCTAAAATCCCTCCCCCCACCCCCAGGGGACATACCGGAAGAACTTCACAGATCTGCTGACTCTGCCAAACCCCATTCAAAGAGTGACTCCACATGCCTTTCAAAGTCTCTTAGGAGAAGAGCCTGGGAAAGAATCCTTGACTCTTGCTTTCCAGAAGGTCTCCACCCTGTATGATCACATTCCTTTCCAGACACTGTCTGGCCACACAGGGTAGACCAGCTCACCCTTGATCCAAGCCAGTGGCCAGGCCTACCTCTGTGAGCAGAGCTGACCTTTAATAGAAAAGACGGGTAGGCTTCTGTTGTCTCTCTGCCCCTTTCAGGCATTTAAACCTGTCCTGTTTCATGGCTGATGTCATTTGTGTGTCAGGGCCAGAGTAGAGCCCTTAGAGGGAGACTTCTGAAAAGGCCCGGCCCCCTTAGCCCTGAGCCCGCCTCCCTCCAGAGGATACTGGTGTTTTAGAATTGTTCTGCCTGTAGATAGGCGATTGGCTGACTGTCAGCTGGTGGGCGCCATACGATCTTGTGGAAAGTTTGGCTGCTCTGCTGGGAATTCCAAGCATTATTAGGTCTCTGTTTTCAGGCAGAAATTTGGAAAGCTAGAAGGAAGGGTAACTACACCTACTTCTACTGTCTTTAGGTGTCCACTTTTGATTGTGAGAGCAGACCTTTTTTGAAAAGAGAAATGGGAGTATGACCAGTTTTTTGAATTTGGAGACAAAGTTTCAGAGCTGGAAGATATCTTAAACACCATATAGGCAGCCCCCACCTCCTTTGGAAACCGCAGCTCAGATAGCCCAGCTGATTTGTAGAGTTCAGAGAGTTCGCCGACTATCTGGCCTTTGTGCAGCCAGTTAGCACCTGCTGCTACCCCTGCCTGAAGAAGAGAGTGGTTCAGGAGCGATGGGCCAGAGAGAGGCACTCTGATGCTGCTGCTGCCACAGGATCCGAAAACCACACCTTTAATTCCTTCTTGTCAACGCTTTCTCTCCAGAGGGTCCCAGAACACTTAACGGCCCTGCCCATGGGAGCCTTATCAGCCGGGGGAGTGGGTGGTGGTGTGGGTTTGCACTCGAGCTGAGGCTGCGAGCTGTGTCAGCCTGTGTCGTCCACCAGTGCCACTGGCCGCCAGGCACACAAAGAGGGCTCTTCACTAGCTGACACAGCCTCTCCCCTGCTCTTAAAGAGACCCATTGAGTCACAGACTTGACTTCCTGGCCTTTTTTCCCTAAGTGGCTGTTCTAAGACTAAAATCAGACTGAGCAGGAGACAGGGCACAGCCAGGATATGCTCAGAGTGTCCTGTGTAAACTCATTGCATAACTGCTACTTGTAGCTTGAGATAAAATCTGTGCGTCCTTGTTGGTGAGGAAATGGGATTGAGTGCATCTACGCTGCCTTCTCCCTTTCATGTTTTCTGCCTCACTCCCCTGGCTTTGCAGAGATGTCAGCTAACTCTAGGCTCTTCACAAGGCATTTTTATGTATATTACTTCTCAGAGCCAACTCTACTTCAAATCCTCTTGTTTTGGTATTTTCTCCACTAACTCCCTTCCCTAGCAGGTGCCCCAGGTCCAATGTGTGGTTATTTATGGCACATGTACTCTGCTGCTGGCACCAGGCAGGATGAGGTCCAAGGTTTGTTCGTCCTGTGGGTCAGCTGGTTCTGCTCGGTTGTGCTTGCAGGCAACACCTCTCACCCTGGCCAGCTGCCTCCAGGCCAGTGGGCTGCAGGCCACTTGAGGGGTGAGGCCAAAAGGAGAAGCTAATCATCTTCTCAGATTCCTAGACGATAGGTCAGTATTTTCTTTGCTCACAGTACCTTTTACAGAGAAGTCTTTAAAGGAGTCTTTTCTGTGTCCAATCAAGAATCTCTGCTGTCAGTTGGGACAGCCCCTTGCTCTTCTGGACTGTTCAAAGCTCAGTGGGAACTCAGGCGCACACAGCTAAGCCCTCGCCAGTGAGTTGCCAGCCTCTCTCTGTGGCTTCATTCTTCCTCAGTCTGCTGTGGCTTTCAGAGAATGGTGTCTGTACTTCCCTACCTCACCATCCACCAGCCTGTGTGGTCCCCTGTCTGTCACTGGTCTCCCACTGCAATCCATTTTCCCAAGCAGCTGGGTGGAAGGGAGGGCTGGCCCCAACAGCAGTAAGAAAGGACCGTCTCTCAACAGGATGTGGAAATTTAGCCAAGTGGTTAAACATTTGAATGTGGAATTCCATGGTCCCAATTGTCACCCTTCTGTTTTCCTTCTGGAATTGAATGGTGGCCTAGGCTTGTGCAGTTTTCACTAACATGTCAGCAAACTTGAAAGTTGAACTCTTGAACTCTGGGGGAAAAGCTAAGTGAGGGAAGTGCTGATGTGGGTCAGTTTGAGCCTGCTAGTTGATTCGCAGTTAAGACAACATGTACAATTTGCTAGTCACCCCGGAAACTTAAGACAATAGAAAACCTCCTTTAAGTGCTTTGCTTCTGGAAAGGAAGCCAGAGGGGGAAATGGAGTATAGAAATCACCGCTGTCCCATCAAGAGCAGCGATACCTGAGTCTTGACATCTCTCTTCCTGGCTCTTGCTCCCATGCAGGTTCATGTGTGCCCAGCTGCCCAACCCAGTCTTGGACAGCATAAGCATCATTGACACTCCCGGGATCCTGTCTGGAGAGAAACAGCGCATCAGCAGAGGTAAACAGGTTCCGACACAGCCCAGGGCACCTGATGTAGTCTGACAACTTCTATCTGATGTCTGTGCCATGGGCCAGCTGCTGCCCCGGTTTCTCTCAGCCTGAGTGAGAACCTGTCTTACATCAGCCTTGTCTCTGGTCAGTGCTTCAAGCCCGGTAGGGGCTGGAGCTGCTTTTTCCTTGGCTCCCTTTGCTGAGGTTACAAGAGCCATCAGGGTGAGACAGCAACCAATTTTGTGTGGCTTTTGAGGTTTCCAGCCCCTGGGGCATGCTGGAGAGGAGGAGCATGGGGAGATGGGGCCTCAGGCTGGCTGTGAGTTCCCAGGAAATTGCTTAGTGTCTGGGCTCCAGGGACCTCAGGCAGCATTGCTGCTCAGAATGAGCTCCTGGCTCCCCTGGGGGCCCATTCACCTTAGTTTGTGTTTGAAAGCTTTGCCTCCCAAGGCAGTATAAATTCCCAGTGAGTCCAGCAGGACTGTGAGAGAACAGTTTGACTTGAGGAAGCCAGCCAAAAGGAGAAGCTAGCAGCAATTTGTTAAACATTTAGGGTACAGTGGAAATATGTTTAAATTTGCTTAAATGTTGGTAATCAGAGCCTCCCTGGGCGCTTTGTGTAGCGTGAGGTTTTCATGCGGAATATTAGTGCACCAGGCCCGTTCTAGTTGTGTAAACTCCAGTTTTGATTTTGCCAAGCTTTTCTAAAGATCTGGTTCAGGATGCGCCTGCACTGGGTTCTGTTTCTGCTGCTGCCCCTTTTCGTAGAAGGAGGGGGACCTCGGGGCTTGAATGCTCTCTGGGAGGAGTTGGAGTGGAGACGCAGGCTGTGATATCTGGCAGGCTAGGAGTGGAGTTTGCAGCTGCAAATGTTAAAAATGAAACAAAATCAGACTCAGAGCGGGTTGAGGACAAGTGACCAGATTTGTTTATCATTAACTTGCAAATCTCTCCTGCACCCCCTTTCCCTCTGGGCTGTCCAGCCCAGCGTTAGTGAGCTTTGCAGCTGAAGTTGGGAGGTAGTGTGTCTCTGCTGCGGCTCTGAGGGGGTGGGGCCCCATTCTCTGTGCTGAGAAACCTTGCTTCTCTTTTTTTCCAGGCTTGTGGGCCCCTGCCATTATGGGATTGCATCAGAGCATACTGAAACTGCTCTGTATCTCTAAATCTGGTTTCAACTTTTAGGATCTCCACCCCTAATAATAATGATACTTCTAGGAGTTCGAGAGAGCAGATTTGGGAATCCCTTCGAAAAAGGCAAGGGCCCTTTCTTTCTTTCATACTGACATCACTGTTCCAGTCTGGTTTGAAGAAAATGCCTGATAAACAAGGCTTTTGCCTTGTCATTTGCCAAAGCAAGGCTAGAAACTCTGAGTAAGTTACTCTTAAAGAGAAAGACCTACAAAAGGGAGTTTATTCTCCGTCTGCCTCCAGGACTGAGCTATCCTGGAGGGACTTTTCTGAGGCTCTGTAGAGTTCTCTTTTTATGGCCTGGGGGAGTAGGTTGGGGAGGGGCTTTCTTGATTGGGGGCCATCAGATCAGGTAGGTCAGTTGATGTGAACACCTCTTTGAGGAAAGGACAGTAATAGCTCATGAAAAGAGACGTATCCCCCCAGATGCCACACACCTTAGAACCTTCAGTGTTGGCAGTTGAGGTGTTTGGGAGAAAGCTTTTAGGGTTCTTGTGGCCCCTGTTGTCTCCCTAAAAGAGAACTCAGGAACAGTTGTTTTCCAGCAGTGCTGTGAGGTTCCCCTGCTGGGCTGTCTTTGACACATCGGCCTGTGGCCTTAGCAGAGTGGTAAGTTGGGAGGGTCTGTCTTGCTACCACGGGGACCCTGGCCCTTCCTGATGGGATGTTTCCCTCCCCTTCCCTGTGCTTCCTTACCCCATTAGTGGAAAGGCAGACAGTGGTGTCCAAACTTGCCCTCTCTGGGACAGGCACCAGGGCAGTGCCCCAGTGTGCCCTCCAGTCAGGCACAGGGTGCATCTCAGGGTGCAGATGGCAGATACTTGGAGGAGGAAGCCAGCAGGAGATAGCGGGGTTCGCCGTTAGTGCTTCGCCTCATGGGGCCTGCCTGTGCCCCTCACCATGTACGGCATGGCCCCTTTGGGTCCCTGGGCAGCCAGGAAGGCCTCCCCCACCCATCATGGGCAGGAAGAAGGAGGTTGGCTTAAAGATAAGTACATCACTGTGGTTGGAAGAGGGCTTTCCTTCTGTGAAACAGAGATCAAACTGATTTTACAGACTGTTTCTTTCCGTCCATAACCCTAGAGGTCTTGGTTTAAAGTGTTTTACTAAAAGTTACCAGGTTGGGATTTGCTGTGGAATATGTTTGGTGTCAGCGTTTTATCAGCTGGGGAAAGACTATAGTGCGGTACCTCTTAAATGTGCTGGATGTGACCTTCAGGAGTGGCGTCCTCTAGGTGGACCGAGAAGGGGTAGGTTTCTCCTTCTTGGAGACCCCATTCGTCTGTCATTGCAAAGGTCCCGTGTCACTCAACAGAGGAAGTCAGAGGAGGGCAGTGCATTCCAGGCTCCCTGGCCCGCCGCCTCTGTGCTCCCTTTGCTGATAGCATGGAAAGCAGGTGTTTCCCTCTCAGAACGATCAGGCCAACAGAAAACCTGGGTCCCGGACAAGCAGCATACATTTCTGTTGTCTGCCGACCTCATCCCCTAGAAACAGAGCATCCTCCAGGAGGCTGCGTGGACATTAGAGTTGCTAATTACGTTTACTTCCAGTTCCCACCCTGTCTGCCTGGCCCCCCCTAACTTTCCCCCATGGTCCCTAATGTGTGTAGGAAACATTGTCTGGAAAGATAACGTAGGGCCTGTGCAGGTCCAAAGCCTTTGGGGTGCAGCCCAGGCTCTGCAACAGACCCCTGAGAATTGTTACAGGGACGAGAAGGGGCCTCTGGGGGGTCTTGGGCTGTTCTTCTCCATTGTGCTAATCTACTTTAAAAATCATGTTCTTCTGTGTCAGCAGAGAAAGGTGACCTGCGGGGACAGCATTCATTCTTGGGTGCCACCTGAGTGACTGATAAAGTGCATTCCAAAGGGCATCTGGGGCCTGGTGGGGCTGGTGGCCTTGGCTCCCAGGCTGCTGGCTGCCTGCGCAGTCACAGCAGTGCCTGGGAGGGAGCAGGACCTTCCCACCGCCGCCGGTCCTCAGTGGGCAGCGGCAGGAGGAGTCGTCCAAATGGAGGCCCCAACCCAGGAGGCAGGGGTCTGGCCAGGGCTCTCGTGCCATTGTCCCTACGAGGCTGTGAGCTGAGCCATAACTTTTGTACCTCGTTTTCCCCTGTGGGAGTCAAGTCAGCAGGGGCGTGTTTCAACTTAGATTAGGAGATCAGAGCTCAGTCGGCCTGGCTCTCTGCTGACCACTGCCACGTGAACCTTGGTTATCACAGCAGCTGCGTCTGTGAGGATGCCCCTGTCTTTCAGATGAGACAGAGGCTTAGCAAAGTTAAGTAGCCCAAGAAGGCACAGGCTAACATAGTTGGCACTGGGATTTGAACCCAGCAGAGGTGCGTACTAGTGTGCTGAAAGGCGGTGCTCTAGGGTGAGGAGCTCTGAGAGCTTGGCTCAGGGAAGTCTTTGGCCCTGCTAGGTTGGTGCTGTGCAGGTATCAGCTCTCCCCGAATGCCCAGGGGCCACCCTTCTTCTCTTCAGGCCCCAGATCAGACTCCAAGTCCAGAAATGGGCCTGAGGTCTGGGGCTTTGAACAGCATTGCTGAGATTTTTACCCTATTCTCTGCCTGCAGCTAGAAATTGCCCCCACCAAGCCATCCATGATGGGCACTAGGAGTCCTGGCTAAGGCTGGCCGGTTCCCTGGGTTCTCACTTGCCCTTCTGCTGACTGACCCTGTTTTTTAGGCTCCATCCAAGGTCAGGAGCCATCTGCTTCCTCAGCACTGGGGTAGGGGGCTGCCTGGAGCAAACCTGGAGCCCTCTGACCCAGAGGTGTCCCTTCCTGCTGACCACCTCCTGAGATGTCCAGCTTTTCAGCAGGGTTTTCTGCAGCCTATAGAACAGCTCCACGAGGTTGCCCAAAAGCCTTGTTCAAGGCTGAGTACTGCATCCGTTCTGGGTTCCCCGTGCCCACAGTACAGATGACAGGAGGTTCAAGTCCCAGGTCAGCACTTCAGAAGCTGAGGGCCCTAAGGAGCTGCTGAGCCCTGGGGAGTCACCTCAGTAAAACAGGAATAGCAATACCAGCCTCATGGTTCTTGTTGATTACAGGAATTTACATGTGTTAAGCTTTTGCCCTAGTGCCTGGTGGCCAGTTAAGTGTTCAACAAATGTCAGCTGAATAAAAATAAAGACACTGAAAAATCCAGGGATTCCCAGACTTTGGGGAGGAAGACCTTTTTCCAAATAACATCCTGAGGAGTCTGGCAGAGGGGGAAGCACTGACTCAGCAGGGGCTTCCCTTCAGTCTCCAGGACCTTCTCTGGGTCCCTGGTCCCCGACCTCAGCACAGCTACCCTCCTCAAAGCCTTCCTCTCGCTACCACCCCCGACCCTAGCCAGCACTGGCTGGGAATGTCGCAGGCTCTGCCCAGGGTGTGGGCCGCTCTGCCCGCAGAAGAGTGGTACTAGCCTGTGCTGGCGCGGCACCTGTTCCGAGGCTGCGAGCCTGGCGGCCGGCTGGGCAGCAGCTGGCCCAAGCGCCTGCAAATGCTCGGTTTATATTTGGGATACGAGGCATTCTTCACGCGTTAGGGGCGGCCGTTGCCTACACACCCATCCGAATCTGAGCTTCTTGAGCCCAAAATACAAATCCTGTGAACAAATAATTGCAAACATTTACCAGGTGCCTACAGTGTGCCAGGCGCTCACTCACACTCAAAGCAGAAGTCCGATGTCTTCATGTTGCAGATGAAGAGATGGAGGCTCGGAGAGGGTTATCCCACTGGCTGTTGAGTAGAAGGTTAAGGATTCAAATGTGGGCCTGATTCCAGAGTCCAGCTGTCTTCTTCTTGGCCCCCCATCCTTTGTTGCTTATTTC